TTAACAATGTAGGAAATAGGATATTGAGAGAGAAAATGGAAAAATTTGAGAAAGAGCAAACAAGAACAGTTGGGAAAGAGGAAGAGGAAGCTAGAAAAGCTCAAGAATAACAGTTCAGAAGATGAAAGATGACTGAAGAGGCTGGAACAAAGATAAGGTGATAAGACTTGCTGGGTTTATTTAGCCATAAAGTTATCAAAATAATTAGTTCTAGAAAATGTGTCTTGGCTACAGTTAGCATTAAGGCCTTGACAAAGGTATCAGTTACAAATAGGGAGGTAGGGACCCAACATTTTTGTTCCTAACATGTGAAAAACACTGTGTCAAGGACTTGAACATGCCATCTTTCTTAAATTTAACAGCTACAACTTCCCTTGTTTTGTAAGTCAGAGAACTGAAGATCTGAAAGTCAAAGTGATCTGTCTCCAGTGGTACAGTTAATTTTTGGCGACACTGAGGAACCCAGGCTTCTTTTCAAATCTAAATAAGTAAGATGAAGTGAAAAAGAAATCAGAGCATTTTGGTCATTTTCTATTGATGAGATCTGGTACATTTCTTAACTCCATTAAGTCTACTAAACAAGGTGACTGCAAAGATTAAACTACAGATTCAAAACAAATCCTATTGGTTATTTTTTTTTTTAATTAAAATTGGCCTACATAGTAACTTACTTTCAAATGTGGAATTTCTTATTTGGTATCCTTCAGAAAAAGAATCTGAAGTTCTGAATTAATGACTATAAATTTTACACATAGTAAACTGAGGTAGGGAGAGGATGTATAAGCTATGGTGTCTAGTATATCTAGAGTCAAATCCAAACTTCATAGTTTCATATCTGTAATATAATGAATGGTCCCACACCTTTTCTTTAGCTACATATTATACTACTGACTTACATAAATATAATACTCAAACTTGTGGCAGATATTACTTCTTAACAAACATACTCTATACTTGACCTTACTTTGCATCTCTAACTAAATTCTTTCTTGGTCTATTGAAATTTGTTCTCCAAGGTCCAAATGAAATTCTTCTAGAATATAACCTTGTTTCCAAATGTTGAGAAATGATGGCTTTTTTCTCTGAACTTTTAAATCTTTCTGATTTTACTTCTCTTAGAGTACATACTATATCATGCCTTGTAATTTAGGTAAGTATGAAAAAATTTTCATTTCTTCTGGCAGAGCATAAGCCTCTTAAGGCTAAATGGAAGGGAACCAACATTATTTTGCAACTATGTTTGTTGCTTTTCCCGTGAATATATATTTTTAATGTAATCTTTATGACACCCTATGAAAAAGGAATTTTCTTTTTACAGATAAGGACCTTGAATTTCACAGAGGCTAAACAATTCACTTATAGTCATAAGGCCGGTAAATGACAAGAGTCTAGATATGAATCCTAATCTTTCGAAATCTAAAAACCTTGGCACTTTCTGAAATACTCTGCCCAGTGACCATGGGTAGATCCTCACTGATTTATCTGTTTCCTGTCCACCCACTAATAATCAGAGGAAAACCTTTTGTCATTACATATTAGCAGAAAAAATTGATATGGGGTATTGCCCTCCTACTTTTCAAAACTAAGAACAAACTCTTCAGAGCAAAGAGAATGATTAATACGAATCCTGAATAAAGATGAAGTGATAAGAACTCTGCTTGCAGGAGAAAGCAGTCAAAAACCATTATTTTTCCACTCATGTTTAAAAACTCCTCCTCCGTTGAGGTTTGCACCATCTGGCTATAGCATTCTCCACCCCACCTCCTCATCTGTCATCTACCACCCTCCTGATTAATTCCTATTTTTACTGCACCTGGGTCACAATCTTCCTCTCTTCCCCACATCCCATCATCCTAAATCACTTCACTATCCACACATGATGGTTTCAATATATACCAGCCTCAGAGTTCCTTGCTATACTCAGCTTTGCTGACCTTAATTTCTACTGTATTTCAGCTACCCACACACAGAGACCTAGCTGTTACCTACAACAGTTCCAAATCAGACAACTTAACTCCATGTTTATATATAATTAATATATATGTATATATCTTTTTTTAGTTATTCATGAACCTTTATTTTTACTTATTTATTTGTGGTGCTGATAATAAAACCCAGTGCCTAGGCAAACGCTCTATTACTAAGCCACAACTCCTGCCCCATTCATGTTAATAATAAATTAATATTTCATTTTCTGACTACAGTACCCAGCTTACTTCCACTAAATTTACTCATTGAACTAACTCAAGCAATCACAAAATCTTCAAGTCCAAAACAACTCATTGTACACTGTTTCCTGTCTCAGCCAATATTACCACCATCCACCTGATCACTCAAGCTAAAAACCTAAGCACCACATTAGACTTCTCATTCTCTCACATGCACATCCAATCACAAAGCCTCAGATTTTTTTTCAAATTATCCTTTCCTCTTCTCCTATGACCACTTTTTAAAAATGCTATGTCAACCATGTCTTATTTTTAAAATATAACCCACTGAATTAATTTCAAGATTCTTATGCATAAAAGGCCCACAATGGTATGGCTTTTGCCTGTATTTCCAGCCTCACAATTTACACTTCTATGTTTACTATTATATTCTTATCAGTCCCAAATTGCTGTGGTTCATTACACCAGCCATTTCTTTTCTCACACTGATTCCTCTACTCAAGCAGTTTTCTGTTTGACATATACTTTCTACTCATCATTGCCTACCTTACTCCTACTTATCATTTAAGATTTGGGTCATGTATCATCTCTTCCCAAAATGTTCCCTCAACTCCTAGGCTAGCCTAAAAGCACTAACTTTGGGTCAATCACAGCATCATATGCACAGCTCTTATTTTTCATTCCAAAAATGACCAATTTAAGCATCTAATTTGCCAGCTCCACAAAGATTAGTATTCATCTTTGTATGCTCAGCTAAGCACAGAGCATAGCATAGTGCTGAACATACTATCTATAATAAGTATATAAATGTAAAAGAATACAGTAGGTTTAATTTTTCAGTAGAATGTTCTCCTCTGTGCTTTCTCAGTGGTTAGTTTCTCCTAACTTTAACTCCAAGTTCTTTGAAGGTTCAGAGTCTTTTCTGGATCTGTAGAGTTTTACACTGAATGGTGCTATACAAAAATGTACCCAACTTACATAAAAGGGAAACACAATTGCACAAACTAGAAATCAAAACTTGACATATGTGCTGCAAACTTCAAAACCACTTACCAATTTAAAAAATGAAGACATTAAGAACAAAGATAAAGAGCCAATTCTGACTGTTGGTATGTGCTTATCTCAGTCATAAAAACAGTGAAACTTTGCTTAAAACTTGAACAGGGCCCCAGATACAAGATTTTATCTACAAGGCCATCACATCCCTGCTGAGTTTCAGAAATTATTAATTTGCAGAGTTGTTTTGGCAGGGGTTTAGGAAATTGGTGAAAGAACCTTTTTAAAATAAAATTTAACCCCACTTACCTCTAAAAGCTAACTGATTTTTAAAAAGTAAAAAATAATGCTGTTAAGTAAGCAACAAAAAAATTGTTCTTTTTCATATCAATATGGGGCCTTCTGCTGGCAGAAAAGGAGCAAAGAGTTCAGTGTAATAAAGCATTTTCCTCTCCAATCAAATATTAAATTGTAGTTTGGCACCAAACTAGGTCTCAATCTCTTTCAGAGTAAAAATAATAAGCTCTTCAATTCACATGGCACATTACAGTTTAAACCCCTTGGATATACATTAGTTTGTTTGATAAAGCATTTAGACATTTTGTTAAAGGCGGGGGAATGTGAAAATTTCCACGAAATAGAATCTCACCTCCTGAGAAAATCACTACTGGATGGCTATTTTTTTTTCTTTTTTCAAGTTCAAAACACAGCACAGAAATGAGGAAGGGAAAGTACTTTTTTATTATAGCAGGCCAATCCTTGGGGCCAAGGACCTTCCTATAGAAACTTAACAAGGTTTCATCTCTTTGGTCACATCAAGATCTTTGAAGAGAAATCATCCAGGGAGTGGATCAGAGAATTATCCAAGACAAGACAAGCCTCAGGGGACGTGATTATTACCTTCAGATATCTTAACAGCTGGCCATAAGGGAAAAGAACTAGGAAGAATGAGAGGCAGCTGTTTCTGTCAAGCTATAACCAAGTCTGTGAAGGTACATACAGAATGGGTTTCCCTGGGAGCAGATCAGCTTTCCATCAATGGAAGAATTGTCCAAATACGTCCAATTTCTAGGGTACTACTCGGGATTTTGAAAGATACTTTGGCAGGGGATGGGAGAAAGGAACCCTGGATGACTTTCAGTTCCCTTCCTGTCTGCAGAAGTTCTGGGGTTCACCAACCCCTTTCAGTGCTGCGCCCACGTGTCCAGCCCTCCAGGGCTGCTGGCTGGCCTCGGTGCTAGCTGCTCCAGGCCCCGTCTGAGGTTTGAAACCTGCTCTCCCGGGCCACTTCTGGCGGAGCCCCGGGCAGGGACAGGTGGCACACGTGAGTTCTCCCAGCCTGGAGATCCCTGGCTGACAGCTCCAGGCCTTCGCTCCCAGGACCCTCCGTCTTCGCCTGCCCGGGGACCAGAGACCGGCGCCAGCACCTCAGGCATTGTCACCTCCGGCATCTGGGCAGTCCAACTGACCCACGCAGACAGACATCACGCAGACTCCTGCCCGCCCTTCCCCAGACCGCCCCGGCGCGGGCCGCCAGGACGCAGCGACCGCGCACCCGCCGCCCCGCGAGGCCGACCCTCCGCAGGGCCCCTGGGCTCSGCTCCAGCGTCCACCCTGGGGCCGGACGCACACGCAGCGCGGGCCGCCGGGGATCGCGGCTGGGCTGACACGGCCAGGGCAGGGCCGCGGACACGCAGGCCGCCGCGACAGACGGACAGGCGGCAGGGGCCGGGAAGGGCAGGCGCAGCGGCCGCGCAGGTCCGTCGCCGGCTTCTGGTGGCCAGCGGCCCCTCAGGGCGCGGGCTCGGCCGGCGGCGGGAGCCGCGAGGCGCTTACCTGCGGGCGCGGCGGCGCGGGGCACGGGGCGGCTCACTCCCTTCCCGCCGCCATGTTTCCGCTGCGCAGGGAGCGAGCGAGGACGCGGGAAGGGGGCGGGCGGGCGGCTCCGGAGAGTGGCGGGCGGGCGGCGGGGGGCTCCACCGAGGCGGCGGCGGCGGCCGAGGGGGCGGGGGCGCGGGCTCCCCGGCCCCGCCCCGCCCTCGCCTCCCGCCGCGAGGTGGCGCGCGCCTGGGCCGTTGGGCTCGCGCCGGCGGGCGGGACGGCGAGGCGCGCGGGGAGGGGCGGCCGAGGGAGCGACCCCGCCCGGCCACCCCGCGCCTCCCGCCCGCGGCCCGGCCGGCGCCCGACCCACTGTCTAGTTGGCGTTTCACGCACCGGTAAACTGGCGCGCGCAGAGGGCTGGGGTTCGAATCCCGCGGCCGCGGGCAGCCGGCAGCGAGCAGCCCCGCCCCGCCGGCAGCTGACTGTGGTGACCTTGAGCGAGTTACTTCGCACCTCCGCGCCAACGCGGTCCTCTCTGACACCTTGGCGCTTAACCCCGAGGGCTAGTAGGAGGAAAAATATAAGTTAGTGCGCGTCAAGCCCAGGCCACTGGCCGAGGGCCGAGCGAGTGAGTATAAGCGGTTCCGGCGCTGCCCCTTCGGCTAGCGGGCAGCCTTAGCGTGCCACGCTCGGTGCACGGGGTCAAGCGCCCAGGGCTCCTCGCTACAGTTCTGTTTGACCGCCACGTCGTTTCAGCCGTGGGGAAGCTGAAGTCTAGGCAGGTGACGCTCCTTGTGCAAGTCGCGCAGCAAGCAAATGACGGGCGGAGACTCCTGTCCACTTGGGCTCTGCCTGCAGGGGTGGGTCCCCGGAGGCCTCCTGGAGCCAAAGACATGCAAGCTGGCTCTGGAAGGAGTCTGCAGGGAAAGCTCATCTCAGGCAGAGGGAAGGTTGAGTGCCAAGGTATCAAGGCGTGGCAGGGACAGCTAGCTGCAGGGACTGGAGTGGGAGCATGTGAGAGACCTGGGGTACGCTGCTGCTGCCCTTGCAGTAGGGCAGGAGGTGAAAGGAGGGTCTAGTACGTTCTAGGTAGAGAGCTTCAGTTTTATTTTGTAGGTCAAAGATTTCACAGTGTGGTCCTGGGTGACCCCTTCTAGGGGTCAGTGAACTAAAACAACAACACCAACAAACAAAAACAACAGTTTTTTGTCCCAATCCAACTTTGTTTTTTGTCATTCTCACATGAGTGTACAGTGAGGCTTTCCACAGAACATATGATATCGCAACAGATTAAAGACAGAAGTAGATTTTAGAATCCAGCTGTACTTTCGTTTAAGCCAGGTGTTGAAAGAAATTAGCACAAATGTAAAGCACCGCTCTTCTCATTAATGTATGTCTTAGAAAATATAATTATTTTTCATTGAAAAATGTGCTTGTGCTATTATGTAATAGGTTTGTTATTGTAATTTTTAACGAATAAATTAAGCTTTTCAGTTTTGATTTTATATGGTAAATATAGAAGAAACACACTGCATAGAAAAAAGTCCTTTGAAGTCTTCTGTAGTATTTTAGGAATAGAAAGGAGTCTTGAGACTGCAAGGTTTATGAATGAATGCCTTAGGGAGTTTTACTTAGGGAAATGACCTTCTCAGATTTGCATTTCAGAAAGAGCTTTCTAGACCCTAGTTAGGCCTGAGGGATGATTTCCTGCCCCTGGCAGGTTTTCAAGGCAAAGGGATAAAAACATGGAAATGCAGGGTTGATGAGCTACAGAGCTGGGATCCAGATGACTGGTCACTATTCCTGATTTGGTATTGCCTTTCCATCAGACACACTGCAGGTCAGGTGCCCCGTTTTACACCTTTGTTTCCACTTCACCCCCGTGTAGGGAGGGTTCTGCTGTTGGGTTCTGTGACAGCTGCTGTTTGACCCAGAACACTGTGACCTCCCCTTATTGTCCACTTTCTGAGAAGTAATCAAGTCAGCCAGGCAGAAGGGAGGAAAGGAACAGGTTATCAGTGATGGTGTAGGTGGGCATGAGAGCCCTGGCGGAGTCCCCAAGACTGCACAGCTCAGAATATCCTTTACATGCTTCTAGGGCTCTTCAGATGAGTGAGAGGGAAACAGTTGTGTCAAAATGTCTGCTGTCTGGGAAGCTTTTTTTTTTTTTTTCTTTTTCTTTTTGAAGATATGTTTCCCAAAATGTTTATGTCAGATGAATCTCTTGTGAAAATACATTTAAAACTTCATTGGCTTTCTAATTTAAGCATACAGAAAGAAATTTAATATTTTCTAAACTCATTATGAACACAAATCAGTACCAAGCTTTATTATTAAGGAATCCCCTAGACTGTTAAGCAGTGAAGGACATGTAAATGCTGTGTTATGAGAGTTCTTGATGCTTTCAAGTTTCTAGTTGTCAGCTGTCACTTTTCTTGCTGTTATTATCCCCTTCCCCTTTCTGCCAGCTTCTAATCTGCTAAAACCAAGAAGGCAAAAAAAAAAAAAAAAAAAAAAAAGCCAAGTTTACCAGAATTGTATCAAACAGCCTCTGAGCATGGGTGTGAGGGACTGTCCTGGGATGGAACACTGAGAAGGCCTGCTGTGGAGAATTGTTCTTAACATCTCTAGTTTCTGTTCCTTCCCCTTTAAGATGAGATGATCATATACCCATCTCTCAAGTTGTTAAAAGGATTAACTCGCATTTAGCCTGTGTCATCAGCTCCCTGCCCAGACATTTTTTTTGTTCTCAGCTCCACTTCTATTAGACAGTTCCACTTGGAGCTTCAAACTTTACAGGTTAAGAAGCAAAATCATGACTACCCTGAAGCTTCTTTTCCTGTGTTTCCCAYTTCAGACAATGGCTCCACCGTAATCCCTGTGATAGTGTTTTAAATGTCTCCCTTTCCTCTTCCATATGCAGGGAATTTCCAAAKCGCACTGCCTCTGCTCTGGTGAACGTCCCATTCCCTGGATTGTGGGAACTGTAACCTAACTCTGGACTCTTATCTCCCAAACTTGCCWTGCACAGCTGCCAGATTTTGGAAGCATGATGTTTTCCCAGTTATTAAAACTCAGTAAGTCCTATAGGAGAAAGTCAAGGCTCTCTGCCCACAACCCTCCTTTCTAAATGCATTTCTCACTCCCCTCCTTTACTTCCCTTTTGATTCACTTGTATTCTAATTTGTACTTTTCTTGTCTTGGCTCTCCCATATACTCTTCTAACTTTTTAGAATGCCTTCCTCTCCATTTTCATGTATCTGAATCCTAACCATCTTTAAACACTCTGATTTTATAGTGCCTTCACAAAGCCTTCCACGATCCTCCAGCTTGAATTTAAGCATACAGAAAGAGTATGAAGAGCTTGAAGAGTCAGAGCATTCAGATAATGCTTGCTGTGATCCAGGCATTCTTCCAGTGCTTYACAAGTACTATTTTAACTAATTCTTGTGACATTTTGCTTCTTCACGACAAATGAATATATAAGTAGCAGTGTGTCAGTCAGCTTTTTTCACTGTGACAAATACCTGAGCATAACAACTTAGAGGGGGAAAGATTTGACTCATAGGTTTCAGAAGTTTCAGTCCATGGTCAGCTGCTTTGGGCCTGAGACAGGACCTCAGGGTGGAGGGGTGTGGCAGAGCAAAGCTGCTTACCTTAAGGTGGTGGGGAAGCAAAGAGAGTGAGCAGAAGGGGCTGGGGCAAGATTCAATCCCCAACAGCACTCCCCCAAGGACCCACTCCTTCAACTAGGTTCTACCTCCTACAGTTTCCACCACCTCCCAATAGTCCATTTAGCAGTGAATTCCTCAATGGATTAATCCACTGMTGAGATCAGAGCCCTCATGATACAATTGTTTCCTAAAAGACACATGTTGAACATTGCTACACTGAGGAACAAGGCTTCAACACAAGCCTTTGGGAGTGCTTCATATCCAAACCACAACTATGATGATCTGTATTTTATAGATAGGAAAATCAAAGCTCAGAGAGGTGAAGTAACTTGTCCAAGGTCACACAGCCAGCAAATGGTGGAGCCACAGAAGAACCCAGGTATACCTGCTCCAGAGCCTGTTTTCCCAAGAGTGTCAATATGAAACAAATTCTCCTGCCTCTACTCCCATTAGCTTTCGTGGCAAGCCATATAAACCTCTCCTAGAACTTTCATTTTTTTCAGTCCCATTACTGAGTAAGGAATCTTATCTTTCTCATTTACACAATAAGTTTCTTTTTTTTAATCTTTTTTTTTTTAGTTGTAGTTGGACACAATACCTTTATTTTATTTATTTATTTTTATGTGGTGCTGAGGATCGAACCCATTGCCTTGCACGTGCTAGGCAAGTGCTCAACCACTGAGCCACAACCCCAGCCCAATACACAATGAGTTTCTTAAAAGTAGAATCAAGGTTTGGTCGGCAACAGTTCTGTGTAGATGCTTAGTAAGGCTTTTTTTTTTTTTTTTAATGAATGAGTATACAGTAGAAAGCTACAGCGAGAAAATAAATGTTTGGGAGCAGGATTGACAAATAATGTTCCTTGGGCCAAATCTGTCCCTTCTTCTATTTGTATTCTGTCTAGGAGTTAAGATTGATTTTTACATTTTTAAATGCTTAAAAAAATCAAAAGAGGAGTAATATTTCATGGTATAGGAAAATTATATGGGAAAGTTTTCTTGTAACTTAGCTTGCTTGTTATGGCTGCCTTTGTGCTACAGTGGGCCTTATGACACATGAAACCTAAAACATTCACTAACTGGCCCTTTACAGAAAATTTCTCCAACCCTCCGTCTTGAGCTRTAGGTAATAACATGGAAACAGCCTAGAAAGAGTACTGATCAACAACCAAGGGATGAGCAGTAGGATGCCACTTCAAGTTTTAAAATAAAACAATGCCAGTTTTGTTGAGGGGCACACACACACATATGATCAAAATATAATGAAAACAATAAACACCAAATTTAGGTAGTGACTCTCTTTGGGGGTTTGGGAGTGGAGATATCATCAGGAAGGAGTCCACAGGGATTTTAACTATTCCTAAATAGTCATGGTCATTAAGTCACCCTTTTCTCTTTCATATTAAAATATAAAATGTTTTACAAGAAATGAATAAATGAGGGCTGGGATTGTAGCTCAGTGGTAGAGC